CCCATGTGTAAGTTGTCTCTTTATTTTGCTGAGTGTTTATTTTGCAGTGCAGAAGCTTCTCAATTTGATATAATTTGTCCATTTTTGCTTTGATTGCCTGTGGTTCTGATGTATTTTCCAAGAATTCTTTGCATATGCCAATGTCTTGCAGTATTTCCCCACGTTCTCTAATAATATGATGGTATTGGGTTGTAGATTTAGGTCATTGATCCATTTTTAGTTGTTTTTAGTGAAAGGTGTAGGGTAGGGGTCTTATTTCATACTTGTGCATTTGGAGACCTAGTTTACCCAGAACCATTTGTTGAAGAGACTTTCCTTGCTCCAGGGATTGATTTTAGCTCCTTTGTCAAAGATAAGTTGGTTGTAGATGCATGGATTAATTTCTGGAATTTCTGTATTGTCCCAATGGCCTACACATCTGCTTTTTTGCTGTTCTGATTAAAACTGCCCTAAAGTATTTCATGAAATCTGGTATTTGATACCCATGGCTTTGTTTTTGTTGTATAATAATATTCCTTTAGTTATTTGGGGTCTCCTGAGTTTTCATATTTAGTATTTTTTTCTATATCTGAGAAGAATGTCCTTATATTTTGATTGATATCACTTTGAATCTGTAAATTTCTTTCAGTAGTATGGACATTTTGATGCTCTTAATTCTTTGAATCCATGAACGTAAAAGATTTTTCTATTTTTTGTGTCTTCTTTTCTTTCTTTTTTTTCTTTATTTTTTTGACAGAATGGACAGTGAGAGAGAGAGACAGAGAGAAAGGTCTTCCTTTTTTCGTTGGTTCACCCCTCAATGGCCGCTGCAGCTGGTGCGCTTTGGCCAGCGCATTGCACTGATCCAAAGCCAGGAGCCAGGTGCTTCCTCCTGGTCTCCCATGCAAGTGCAGGGCCCAAGGACCTGGGGCATCCTCCACTGCACTCCCGGGCCACAGCAGAGAGCTGGACTGGAAGAGGAGCAACCGGGAGAGAACCGGTGCCCCAACCTGGACTAGAACCTGGGGTGCCAGCGCCACAGGCAGAGGATTAGCCTATTGAGCTGCGGCACTGGCTTCTTTTATTTCTATCTTTAATGTTTTGTAATTTTCATTGTAGAAGTCTTTGATGTCTTTGATTAAGTTTATTCCAAGGTATTTAATTTTTTGTAGTTATTGTAAATGGCATTGATCTTAGAAGTTCTTTCTCATTGTCTTTAAATTCAAAGGCTATTGATTCTTGTGTGTTGATTTTATATTTTGCCACTTAACCAAACTCTTTTGTGAGTTCCAGTATTCTCTTAGTGGAGTCCTTTAAATCCCCTATATATACAATCATGTCATCTACAAATTCAGATAGTTTCACTTCCTCCTTTCCAGTTTGTCTCCCTTTGATTTATTTTTCTTGCCTAATGACTCTAGCTAGAACTTCCAGTATTATATTAAATAGCAATGGTGAGAGTAGGCCCTGTTGTCTGGTTGCAGATTTTAGTGGGAATGCTTCCAACTTTTCCCCATTCAGTAGGTTGCTGGCCATGGGTTTCTCATAAATTGCCTTGTTGGTGTTATGGAATGTTCCTTCTATACCCAATTTGTTTAAGGTTTTTATCATGAAAGGATGTTGTATTTTATGAAAGGCTTTCTTTGCATTTATTGAGATAATCATATGGTTTTTGTTCTATAGTTTGCTAATGTGATATATCACATTGATTGATTTACAAACGTTGAAACATCTTTGCATACCAGGGATAAATCCTACTGGGTCTGGGTGAATGATCATTCTGATGTGCTTTTGGAATTGATTGGCTAGTATTTTGTTGAGGATTTTTGCACCTATGTTCATCTGGGATATTGGTTATTCTCTTTTTCTGTTCTATCTTTTACAGGTTTAGAAATGAAGATGATGCTGGCTTCATAGAAGGAGTTTGGCAGGATCCCTCTCTTTCACTTGTTTTGAATAGCTTGAGAAGAATTGGAGTTAGTTCTTTAAATGTCTGGTAGAATTCATCAGTAAAGCATCCATTCCTGCCCTTTTCTTTGTTGGGAAATTCAATCTCTGTCTTGATTATTTGTCTGTTTAGGTTCTGTATGTCTTCATGGCTCAATTTAGGTAGGTTGTATGTCCAGAAATCTATCCTTTCTTCCAGGTTTCCTGAATTGTTGGCATACAGTTCTTTGTAGTAATTCCTGGTGATTCTTCTTATTTGTGTGGTATCTGTTGTTATATTTCCATTTTCATCTCTAATTTTATCGATTTAGGTCTTCTTCCTATTTGGTTAGTTGGTCCAATGGTGTATTTATTTTATTTATTTTTTCAAAAAAACAACTCTGCATTTCACAGGTCTTTTTTGTTTCAAATTTGTTACTTTTTCTCTAATTATTTCTTTTCTCCTAGTTTTAGGTTTAGTTTGCTGTTGCTTTTCTATGTCCTTGAAATTCATTGTTAACTCATTTATTTGCTGTCTTTACAATTTCTTGATGTAGGCACCAGTTGTTATAAATTCCCTCTAAATACTGCTTTCACTGTATCCCATAAGTTTTTATATATTGTACAATTGTCTTCATTCATTTCTAGAAATTTTTTGTTTTCTCTTTGAATTCTTCCTTGACCCACTGTTTATTCAGGAGCATGTTTTTAAGTCTGCATGTGTTTGTTATCCTGAGATTCTTGAGTTGTTGATTTCCATTTTTTTTTAATTTACTGCTCCTTGCTTTAAGGCCTAGTATGTGATATAATCGAGTAAGTTCCATTCACTGGTGAAAAGAATGTTTATCTGCAACTGTGGGGTGAAAAGTTCTGTAGATATCCATTAGGTCCTTTTGGTTTATAGTATCAATTAACTGTTGTTTTCTCGCTCATTTTTTGCCTGATTCATCTGTCCATTGCTGAAAGTTGAGTATTGTAGTCCCCCAGTACTATTATATTGGAGTCTAGGTCTCCCTTTAGATCTATTAACATTTCTTTTAAATAGTCAGGTACTCTATAATTGGGTGCATATACATTTATTATAGTTGTATCTTCCAGTCGAATTGATCCCTTAATCATTACATAATTCCCTTCTTTACCTCTTTTAGCAGTTTTTATGTTAAAGTCTATTTAGTCTGATATTAGGATCGCAATGCCTGCTCTTTTTTTGGTTTCTGTTAGCACGGAATATCTTTGTCAATTCTTTCACTTTCAATCTACATGCATCTTTGTTGGTAAGATGTGTTTCTTGTAGGCAGCAAATAGATGGATCTTCTTTGTTAATTCATTCAGCCAGTATATATCTTTTAACTAGAGAGTTGAGGCCATTTACATTCAAGGGATTATTGATTAGTAATGAGTTGGTCCTTCCATTTTTTGATAAATATTCCTGTTTATTTTGGATTTCTTTGTATTTTTACTGGGAGATTTTCTGCCTTCACATTCTTTCATAATGATGACCATGTTGTGTGTTTCTGTGTTTAGCATATCCTTAAGTATCTTTTGCAAGGCTGGATATATGGTGATAAATTCTTTCAATTTAAGTTTGTATGGGAGCTCTTTATTTCACCTTTATTCATAAATATGAGCTTTGCAGGGGAGGATTTGATCAGCTATTGGTGTAATCTCACGCTCACCTCTCCTCTAAGGAAACCAATACCTGGGTGCCAGCCTCAATGTGTACAATATTCATCTGAGCTGCCACAAGAATCACACAAAAGATTTATGTAGTCCTCAATGTGAGCACAGATCCTGCATCAATGACACTGCCCAGTCAATTAGGGAGACATGAGTGTGTGGAGCTGCACACAACTGCCCAGAGACCCAGCCACACCCTGCGCCCTACCACACAGCCATAGTGTTTCTACAGTCTCATCATACAAGGTTCCCACAGTCACTGGGCACCAAGGATCCACTCTTCCCTGCCAATCTGTCCTGTCAGCAGAGAGACAGAAACACTCCCAGAGCCAGTCACTTATAGGTTTTTCACCCAGGCAACCTAAGCCTCAAAGAGGGGACCTCACAGTCCTATGTAGCTGCCCAGCCCCCTGCCAATTCTCCCAACCAGGCTCAGTTGTCTCCTGGTTGCTGGGTGCATGGATACAAGCTGGTACAGCTGTGACATGTGTCCAAAATGGCACCCACCCTCTTTCAGGTAATTAAAAGATGCCATTGTTAGGTGGAGAGGGAGAGAGAAGCAAGCCCCATTTTCCCGTGTAGCTTGGTAGGTACACTGTGGCCCAAGTGCTGTAAGATGGACATATGCCAGACTCCCCCTACAGCTATATCACCAGTGGCTTGGGTTATTGCAGTCTGGTCTCACCTCACTCTCTAAAGCTGGTGCTGAGGCTCTCAGCTGCAGGGGGTCCTGTGTTGTGTCCATGTTTATGCTGCACATCCACACCATCCCTCTAACCTCTAACTTTCACAGTTTCCACTGTAATTTTCTCCCTTACTCTTCCCTGAGATTCCACTCCACTTTTTATTTTTTAAAGATTTTTAAGATTTTTATTTATTTATTTGACAGGTAGAGTTACAGTGAGAGAGACAGAGAGAAAGGTCTTCCTTCCATTGGTTCACTCCCCAAATGGCTGCTACGGCCTGTGCTGCACCAATCCGTAGCCAGGAGCCAGGTGCTTCTTCCTGGTCTCCTATGCAGGTGCATACAAGAGCTATGCAGGTGCACTTGGGCTATCTTCCACTGCCCTCCCGGGCCACAGCAGAAAGCTGGACTGGAAGAGGAGCAACCGGGACTAGAACCCGGTGCCCATATGGGATGCTGGTGCCACAGGTGGAGGATAACCTAGTGTGCCACCGCGCCAGCCCCTCCACTCCACTTTTTAAACTGTCTTTCCCTAGATAGAATAGTAAACTCCCTCCCTATTCCACTGTCTTAGAATCACCCCCTCCCCCAGATTTTGCTTTCTGTTGCCATATAGATTACACTGTTAGCTGCATCTTATGTAAGAGGGATGTAAGACTCACAGAAGAGTGTGCCCCAGTTCTTTCAGCTTTGTGGTACATCTGATCTGTTGAGGAGAAATGTGATCTTACAGGTGTTGGTGTCATTTGAAGACCTGGCTGTGGACTTCACCTGGGAGGAGTGGCAGGACCTGAGCCATGCTCAGAGAATCCTGTACAAGGATGTGATGCTGGAGACCTACAGCAGCCTGCTGTCCTTGGGTGAGTGAAAGTCCCCTAACATGCCCAACTGGAGTGTTTTCTTTCCATTTGACTATTAAATGAGCACTTAATAAAGTTTAATGCTGGATGAGTACTGGATTTGATTCCATGAAGAATCTGCATATCTTCCATCTAGGAAAGAATTTAAATCAGAACTTCTGTTTCAGAATTCTTGACCAAGATTTTTTCCTTCTTCAAAACATCTAAATTAGTGGTTTGACAAAGTCTTACGTTTCCTATTAACAGGGTACTGTATTACGAAACCTGACTTGATCTTCAAGTTGGAACAAGGAGAAGAGCCATGGATAGTTCAAGAATACCTAAACCCAAACTTAAAAGGTCAGTCAGCACATACATGGTATGGAGACTATGCCAAAAGGAATGCAGTGAATTTTCACTAGAACTGTTCACACAGTTTATTATCTGAAGTGCCACTCTTGGTGACAGCTTGATTTCAGGCAGCAGACATAGGCTTTCTACAAATTCCGGGAAATGCTCTCATGTGTGTATCTCTCCACCTCTTCTTTGGCTCTTGATGAATATATGCTTTCCTTTTTTAAAAATCCAATCCCTTTCTGACTCTACTAACACTTTTTTCTTGCTTAAATATACCCTAAAGTCTAATTTTCTTTCTTTACTTTAATTCCCTGATTTTCCTCAGGAATTTTTTCATGTATTTATTAATTCCTTCCATTCTTGTTTTTCTCATTTTTTTTATGGTCAACAGATTTCATGTATTTAATATATACAGATTTAGGAGCATAGTGATATTTCCTACTACCCTAAGCTCCCTCCTGTGCATGCTTCCTCTTCTTTCCTTTCTTCCTTAAATTTTTATAATGATCTACTTTCTGTTTATTATATACTCACAAGGTTAATCCTACGCTGAGCTAATAATTAACAAATAGTTAAAAAAATTCCTCAACAGTAGAGACAAGGGCTATAAATAATCATCAGATCTCAGAATGTCAATTTCACTCCTGTACATTACATTTTTGATATTCTTTTAGTTACCACAGATCAGAGAAAACACGTGGTATTTGCCTTTTGGGGACTGGCTTATTTCAACTAATATAATGTTTTCTAGTTGCATCCAATTTGTTGCAAACAACAGGATTTCATTCTTATTTATTGCTGAGTAGTATTCCATATTATATATACAGAGAGCATAATTTATTTTTCCATTCATCAGTTGATGGACATCTGAGTTAATTCCATATCTTAGCTATTGTGAACTGAGCTGCAATAAGCATGGGTTTATAGGTAACTCTTTCATAGGCTGATTCCTGGGTCGTATGATTGATCTATTTTCTACTTTCTGAGGTATCTCTATACTGTCTTGCATAATGGCTGTACTCATTTACATTCCTACCAGTAGTGATTAGGGTACCTTTTGCACCATGTCCTCACCAGCATTTATTGTTTGTTGATTTCTGTATGAGAGCCATTGTGGTTTATATTTGTATTTCTCTGATGGTTAGTGATCTTGAATATTTTTTCACGTGTCTGTTGGCTATTTGAATTTCCTATTTTGAGAAGTGCCTGTTCAAGTCCTTTGCCCGTTTCTTTTTTTTTATATAAATCTTTTATTTAATAAATATAAATTTCATAGGTACGTATTTTGGATTATAGTGATTCTTCCCCCCATACTTACCCTCCCATCCCCACTCCTGTCCCATCTCCTCCCTCTCCCACCCATTCTTCATTAAGATTCATTTTTAATTATATACAGAAGAACAACTCTATACTAAGTAAAGATTTCAACAGATTGCACCCACACAGACACAGAAAGTATAAAGTACTGTTTGAAGACTAGTTTTACCGTTAATGCACATAGTACAACTCATTAAGGACAGAGGTCATACATGTGGAGTAAGTGCACAGTGACTCCTGTTGTTGATGTAACAATTGACACTCTTTTATGACATCAGTAGTCACCCGAGTCTCTTGTCATGTGCTGCCAAGGCTATGGAAGCCTTTTGAGTTCATGTTATTTAGACCTTATTTAGACAAGGCCATAATCAAAGTGGAAGTTCTCTCCTCCCTTCAAAGATAGGTACCTCCTTCTTTGATGGCCCTTTCTTTCCACTGGGATCTCACTCACAGAGATCTTTCATGTAGGTCATGTTTTGCCACAGTATTTTGGCAAAGCCTGAAATGCTCTCATGGGCTTTTTAGCCAGATCAGAATGCTTTAAGGGCTGATTCTGAAGCCAGAATGCTGTTTAGTTGTCCATTTCTCAACTGGATTGTTTCTTTTGTTGTTGTTGGGTTTCTTGAGCTCTTTATAGACTCTGCTTATTAATCCTTTATAAGTTTCATAGCTTGTAGATATTTTCTCTCATTCTGTTGGTTGTGTCTTCACTTTGCTGAATGTTTTCCTCTGCAATACAGAAAGTTCTTAGCTTGATGTAACCCATTTGTTTATATTTCCTTTGATTCCCTATTCTGTTTTTTTTTTCCCCAAGAAGTTTTTCCCTTGCCAATGTTTTGCAAAGTTTCCCCAATATTTTCCTGTAGTACTTTCATGTTGTCAGGTTGTACATTCAGATCCTTGATACATTTTGAGTTGATTATTTTATAAGATGTAAAGTAGGGGTCTTGTTTCATATTTCTGCACATGATATCCAATTTTCCCAGCACCATTTGTAGGAGAGAATGCCCTTTCTCCAGGGATTGATTTTAGATTTTTTTGTCAAAGATTAGCTGGTTGGACATGAGTAGATTGGTTTCTGGAGTTTCTATGCTGTTCCATTGCTCTACATGTCTTATCTTTGTGCTAGTACCAGACTGTTTTGATTATAACTGCCCTGTATGTCTTGAAATCTGATATTGTGATGCCTCCAGCTTTATTTTTGGTGTGTAAGATTGCTTTAGTTACTTGAGGATTCTTGTGTTTCAAAATGAATTTTAGTATCATTTTCTCTAGAACTGAGAAGAATGTCATTGGCATTTTGATTTGTTGAATCTATAAATTGAAACTAAACTAAAATTGAATCTATAAATTTGTTGAATATATAAATCTATAAATTATTGAATCTATAAATTGCTTTCAATAGTACGGACAGTCTGATGATACTGATTCTTCCAATCTGTGAACATGGAAGATTTTTCCACTTTTTGTATCTTCTTCTAGGTTCTGTAGATATCAGTTAGGTTCATTTGGTCTATTATGTAGATTAGCTCTGTTATTTTTTTGATGATTTCCTGACCTATTGAACTGTTCATTGTTGAAAATGAGGTGGGCTGGTGCCATGGCTCACTTGGCTAATCTGCCACCTGCGGCGCTGGCACCCTGGGTTCTAGTCTCTGTCCTGGTTGCTCCTCTTCCAGTCCAGCTCTCTGCTGTGGTCTGGGAAGGCAGTGGAGGATGGCCTAAGTGCTTGGGCCCTGCACCTGCATGGGAGACCAGGAGGAAGCACCTGGCTCCTGGCTTTGGATCAGCGCAGCGCGCCAGCCGCAACACACTGGCTGTGGTGGCCATTTAGGGGGGTAAACCAATGGAAAAAGGAAGACCTTTCTCTCTGTCTCTCTCTCTCTCTCACTGTCCACTCTGCCTGTCAAAAAAAAAAGTGTTAAGTCCCCCATTACTATTGTACTGGAGTCTGTGTCTCCCTTTAGATCCGTTAACATTTGTTTTAAATAGCCAGGTGCTCTGACATTGGGTGCATATACATTTATTATAGTCACATCTTCTTTTTTAAATTGATACCTTAAGCATTGCATAATGTCCTTCTTTGTCTGTTTTAACAGTGTTTGTATTAGTCCATTTCACCTGATATTAGGGTGATTATACCTACTTTCTTTTCTTTCTGTTAGCTTGGAATATCTTTCTCCATCTTTTAATTTGGTGAGATGTGTTTTTTTTTTTTTTTAGTCAGCAAATAGATGGGTCTCTTTTGTTAATCCATTCAGCCAGTCTATATCTTGTAATTGGAGATTTTAGGCCTTTTATATTCAAGTTTATGATTGATAGGTAATGATTTGGCTCTGCTGTTTTTACATAAATACTCCCATTTTCTGCTGTGGATTTGCTTTGTATTATTGCTGGGAGATTTTCTTTCATAGTGTTGGCCATACTTTGTGTTTCTGTGTGTAGCATATCCTTCAGCATCTTTTATAAGGCTGGATGAGAGGTGACAAATTCCTTCAATTTCTTTTTGTTATGGAAGGTCTTTATTTCACCTTCATTCATAAATGAGAGCTTTGCAGGGTACAGTGTTCTGGGTTGACTTTTTTCTCTTAAGACTTGAACTATATCTTGCCATTGTCTTTTAGCCTGTAGGGTTTCAGGTGAGCAGTCAGATGTTAATCTAATTGGAGATCCTCTCAAAGTAATCTGATTTTCTCTCATGCACATTTAAGAATCTTTTCTGTTTTAACATTGAAAGATTGAATATGGGGGGCGGAGCCAAGATGGCGGAATAGTGAGGGCACGCACCGATAGTCCAGGAAAATTTAGTTTAATAAAAGGGGAGTTACGGTAGCCGCAGAAAAAAGAACCAGGAAAAAATTGCACGGGAATCGTGAATCGGAGGACCTACTTGGAGAACAAGGTCGCCCACTGCGCGGAAGCCAAGTCGCGGGACCGAGCCGCAGAAGCCCCAGTGCTCCAAGGGGAGTGCATGCCACACAGACAACAGCAGGGAGACTTGGGACGCTCAGGGCTCCAAGTCCACACATCGGCGCTGGAAGGGGAGGTTAGCTCAATAACCCGAGACATTGGTGGGGAAACGGGGGTCAGAATCTAGAGGGGGGCCGGAAAGTGCAGCAAACTCACTACCGGAAAGAAGGAAAAAAAAAAAGCTTCGGGGTTTCTCTTCCCCCTAACCTTGCAAAGGTTACAAGGCTGCAAGGCTAGAAGAAATCCCAAGAGACAAAGAGCAGGCCTGCTCTCTGGATTTACATATCAATGGGGGAGAGCTAAGGAACTGAGTCACTACAATTCAGTAGCCTAGGCAACCCAGTGGGAGTCCAGAGGAGCCAAAGACTGGAACCTAAATACCATCAATTCTGCACAGCCGTGCCCTGCGGTGTTACTTACCCCCTGAATAAATAAAATAAATAAATAAATAAAAAGAGAGAGATTTACCACGCATAACCTGAGGGTGTCACCTTTGCACACCCTTAACCTGGAAGAACCAGGCAGAGCTCTCAGGCCGCACCTATCTCAAGCCTCCAAGGCTCCTCCAACAGCAGGCAGTCCACTTAACACAGACACAGTATAAAAAAAAAAAAAAGAAAAAACCGCACAGTGACACAAAAGAATTAACTATGCCGAGTAACAAACACAGAAATAGAGGGAGCAAGATCAACGATGACACTATGATGCCTCCAAAT